GGCACAGAGTCGTATGCCTTTTTTAGGTCAATAAAGCCTAGATGGACTGGTCTGTTCTTTGCCATTTTCTTCTCTATTAGCTGTTGTATAGTGTAGATGTGGTCGACACATGATTTTATGTGGTAAAGCCTGCCTGGTCGTCCTCTATTTTATTTTGGACTTGTTTTTCTAGTTTTTTCCTTTATTAATTTTCCATATTATCTTCCTTAAGCCTGTGTAATTTTCGCGTTTTCTTCTATCCCCTTTCTTGAAAATAGAGATAATATGGTCTGTCGACCATTCTTCAGGTTGTTGTTCGGTGTCCAAGGCTCTTTGAAACATGGGATGTATCATACGGAATAATTTTTCAGAGCCGTATTTAATTAGCTCAGGTTCTATCCCTCCGGGGCCTGCATACTTATTATTTTTTAAGTGTTTTATGTTTTTTTTACTTCTTCCAATGATAAATTTAGTTGTTCCTTTGTATTTGTTGTTTGTTGTTCTTTTTCTATAAATTTTGTTAGCTTTTCTGTCAGGAGTTCTTGGTAGTAATCATTCCATTGTTTTTCGCTTATAAAAGTAAAATGTGTTTTTTCCTGTGTTAGTAGAATAGTGTTACTAGCAAGAGCAGCAATGAGTGAACTAAACGGGGTCTGGCGTGATCGTCACATTACTATGACAAACAAAAAGAGACTCGTTTCAACTCTGGTCTTTTCCATATTTTACTATGCATGCGAGACATGGACAGTCAAAGAATCAGATCGACGACGTATCGACGCCTTTGAAATGTGGACATGGAGACGCCTGCTTCGAATTCCATGGACGGCTCGCCGTACAAATATCTCGGTTCTGGATGAATTAAACCGGATCAGCGTCTCTCTAGTACCGTTTACTCTAGAATTTTAAAGTTCTTTGGTCATATCCATCGAAGTGATCACAAAATGGAGCGGTTGGTGGTCCAAGGAAGGCCTCAGACTCAACGCCAACGCGGAAGATCTCCACAGCAATGGGCGGACATTACTAAAAAGCTTCTCAATAAACAGTATACTGAGGCAATACATATAACTGATGACCGCGACCAGTAGAGAAATATTATCAATCAAACTGTCCGAGCTGCTGAAGCCAAATTATGAACCACAACACATCTACTAAGATGTTAATGACTGTGATGATGAGTAGAATATGTGGTATATTTTTGATCTAGTGTATCCATATCGCCTTTTGTTTGATTATAGAAGCAAATTATTTCGGGTTTACCAGATTCTATGTCGTCACATTCGGTATGGTGCATTGGTGATATTAACACAACTGTCTGACCTTGGAAATTATAGTGTAGTCATTTGTAGAACCATAAATGGAAGATCCTTCAGCTCTGGTCCGACTTGAAATGAACTGCATAGGTATTTCCTTTTTGTTCCGCTTGAGCGTGCCAACATAGGTCAGTCGGAGCTTGTGTTGGTTTCATGAAACATCTATCCTCATTCGTTAGAGAAAAACCATCACTGTCCTAACCACAGTAAATATAGTCCTTATAGAAATAGTGGGTACTTGCGTCTGTTAGGGCCATAATTTCAGTCCATATTTACGAGGTTTATTAAGTATTACTTCTTATCAGCATTTCGTCGATACAACACAATTCCCATAGAATAACAGTCTTGGCAATTTTTTATAAATTTGCCAAGAAAAAGCAGCTTATAAAAGAAATATGGACACAGAAATCCCTCCCCACTGATTGGAATATTGGAATACTTTGCACCATGCACAAAAAAGGAGATATATTTGAATGCTCTAATCACAGAGGAATTAGGCTTCTAAATGCAGCGTATAAAATATTTTCCATAGTACTATGTCACCTTATGGCACAATATGCGGAACGGATAGTAGAAAAATACCAGGTTTATTTCAGAGGTGGTAAATCTACAATTCATCAGATTGCAACCCTGATTTTTCTCGATAATCTGCATTATCAAACCTAAAACAAAAGTAATAAAATATTTACACGAACTATTCACTCAACAAACTTTAGACATGCGAGCATTACACACATGTGTCTCGTCCCGTTCCATCTGTTGCTAATATTTCTTGCAAGTCTTCATCATTTGACTTGAAAACTGCAGGGTAATACAAGATAGCGAGAAACGCTGTAAATTCTTTCTTTGTTAGTTCTCTCAGTTCTGTTCTATAAGAATTGCTAAATTTATCTTTAAATAACAAAATATTCTCATTTATCCTCAGAATTATTTCGTTTTCCATATTCTCTATTTCTCCATATTCTAATATTTAAACCTGGATTATTCAAACCACATATATGAATTTTTACCAAAATAAAAGTATCCATTTGTTGTTTCTAGTCACTCCCTTCTTCACCTATAGCCTGACTTTCTTTTCAATGTTTTGGCATTGTTTCCCTGATCTTCCATCTCAGAATCAGAGTTATTATCACTCACTGAAAAAAAATCTTTGTCGTTGTAGTCCTGATAATCCCTAAACTCTCTTTCTAATTCATCATACCACCGCATTACATTTTCATCAAAATTAGGCTCTCTATAGTGTATTTTTTTGTATGAGAGAGTAATAAAACAATAAATTATGTATGCAAATCCCTAAACTGTTGATACGGGTGACTCAATGAAAAACAGATATTTGTCAACAAGTTTATAGAAGTATATAGGATAACAATTTTAAATTGAGTATGACCACCAGGTATAAAGGTTGGAGCAGAATAGAATACAATAGTTGTGAGGGTTACTAATCCCTAAATAAGGTTGCCAGTGTCGGAGTGATGGAGGTTAACAGGTACTAATGAATTTGCAAGAAATGAAAGATGTTTATTTTATTGGTTATATATAACCAATAAAAGTTTAATAAGTACCTACCTATTTGCAAAATAAAGTTTAATTCTTTAGATAAAATAAAACGTTTTATTTTATCTGAAATGAGTGCATTCCACGAAGTAAGGGTTTCAACAATCAAACATTTAATTCTTTAATTCCAGGAATCTACGACAGTAATTGACTAGATAATTACCTTCTAAACTTATTCCACAGAAAATGTGATAGTGGGTTTTTCCATTTTGTAGAAAGGTCCAAGTGGCGTATTCAAAATTCTTAACAGTTCACTAAAAGTAGGTACTTCAGTTGCAAGGTGCAGTTTATTGTGTATACTAGTGTTATGGAAAATTTGGAAGTGCCGTGTAAACACCGAAAAATTGGTCCTTTAACAGTTAATGAAAAAACATTAATATTTAATTGTTTTAAATCATTTACAGACAAACGTTTATATGAAAGTGTTGATGAGACCGTTGAGTTAGTTAGCAGTACACTTGGTGTTGGAAAATCTATAATTTACAGAGTTATTAAAGAAGAAAAATGTGGTAGTTTTCAAATGCCACGTAATGCTCCAGGGAAACCAAAATTTCAAATAGAATATCATTTTAAAGAAGGACTTCGACGGAAAGTGCATGAATTCTTCTTTAGACAAGAATTTCCAACATTGGATAAAGTTCTTGTCTCAGTTCGAGATGATAAGGATTACCCAGAAATGGGTAATTTTAACGTTATGGAAACTTTTAAAAGAAATGGGCTTCCGCTGGAAAAGGAACGAGGGTCATACACCAAATAAATTTTTGGCAGGATGAAACTGTTACAAGTCAAAGGCACGCTTTTGTAAATAACTTATCTACCACCACCATCAGGAAAGGGACGCAGGCTGATAATAGTACACATTGGCAGTTCAGACGGTTTTGTTGAAGGTGGTTTATTAACTTTTGAATCAACTCGTACCGGTGACTACCATGAAGACATGAACGCTGATGTCTTTCAAGAATGGTTCGAACAAATGATAGATCTTCTTCCTAAGAACTGTGTAATAGTAATGGATAATGCAAGTTATCACTCCAGACTTATAGAAGGACTGCCCACAACCAAGTGGTTAAAAAAAGACTTGCAGAATTGGCTGAGTTCAAAAAATATTACGTACCATCCCGGATCTATAAGAAAGGAACTTTATTCGTTGTGTGCCCTTCATAAAGAAAAATTTAAAAAATGCGAAATTGATGAAATTGCCAAAAATCGTGGAATGACAGTACTTAGATGCCCACCATATCATTGTGAATTAGACCCGATTGAACTGGTATGGGCACAGATAAAGAGTGAAGTTTCAAGAAAAAATACCACTTTTAAAATTCATGATGTTAAACAGTTGTTTTTGGAGGCCGTAAATAATGTAAAACCTGAAAACTGGGAAAAGGCAGTAAATCACACTATTAAAGAAGAGGAAAAAATGTGGAAGCTGGACAATATTACTGATAAAATGATCGAGCCAGTTATTATAAATCTTGGTTCTGAAAATTCATCTTCTGAATCTGATTTGGATTTGTAACAAGTAGCTGTAAGTTTTATATTAATATTTTTATTCATCTATTTAACATACCTTAGACGGTTTTAAAAACTCTTTTTCTCTTTTGTAATTTTAAAAATTAAAAAAAATGTGAATTTTTTAAAACCCTTTTTAATGTAGGCCAGTCAGTTCTAATATAGTGTGTGATAAAAGAGGTCACTTTTGTTTACATACACATAACACTTTATAACACTGAAATAATTCATTTATTTTTTACAATTATTCAAAGTAATTTTTCAATTAATCTTGAGCACGCCCATGGAGTGGTCGAAGGTACCAGTTAAAATTATGCTAATTACTCTCTCGTTCATAAAAATAAACTATAAAAGAAGACTCTTTTGGAAGAACCTGTCATTTCAGAAATAAAACACTATTAGCGTCGTGGTACCACACAGACCCCAAATAATGAACTTTACCGCTGGCTATTCAGAGCAATACTGAATCACAGTTGACGTGCGTGTCGGAGTGTCTTACGAGTGCACCAACTTAAAGGTAGATGGCGCGGCCAGGCATAAATGCTAAATTTGCAAAAGTACTAGGGGTCCGCCTGACCCCACAATGCCAGTTGAGGGTTAATAAATTAAGTACATCAAATGATCAAATATAATAAAGACTATTCTTACCTTTTTATTAACAGATCGTATAAAGTCAGCAGCAGTAAAAACAGGTGGAGGCGGAGTACTGGTAGGTTGCTGAGTATTTGAATTTGATTGACCACCATGTGGAGAAGGCAATTGAGAAGTTGAAGCTATATCACCAACAGCGACCCATGTTGAGCAAGACCTAAAATTTAAGATACATACTATAACACCTAATAATATTCGGCTACTAAATTATTAAACACTAGCGGACCAACTCGACGTCGAGTTTTTTAAATGAAATTTTTATTTTGCGAGAAAAATTAAGAGATCAATACAAACAATATAAGCAAGAATATACATAACATTCATCAATAATAATGCAAGTAAAAAGTGTATTAAATATCACGAACTATTTCGTCGAAAACAATGTTTTTTGTTACAATGTCTCCATTTTCTGAAAACTTTTGCTTGGCACCGGAAGTTATGTAAACTTTTACTTTTTACTTTTTAATAAAAACGAAACCGGAAGACGACCTCAAAACCGGAATGCAATTTTTAGTTCATCAAATGTCGACATGGATATCATTTAGCAGTTAATTTTGCATACTGATCACGAATCCGGTGTCAGATTTGCTCTATCTTGACGTTTTATGTCCGTTTCGGGTCACTTCCGGTGTCGGATCGCAACCGGAAGTACATATTTAGATTCGTCTCGACGAGACCTTTCGATCCATATATACATTGTGGGGTCTAAAACTTAAAGTAAATTTTAACTTCCGGTCATCTCAAAACCGGAAGTGAATTTTTTTACCAAAAGTATATCTTGACAATCTCATACGTAATACTAATAATATTCCGAAAAATATTTTAATTATCTATGGTTTTGAGTAAAGTGGTGGACAAGAAAAGGGCTTAGCGTTTTAGTATATAAGATATGGTTACTATGTTATTGTTGTACTTTGGTAGAAAATTTCTAGTTATTTTTAAAATACTTTTCGACAATATTTAACCTGTTTTAATTAGTTTCAATTGACAATATAGTTGTCAGTGTGACGTTTTGTAGTTCTCCCGAGAAGTATTAAATTTTTCGTTTTTTATTCATAGTATAATGGTATAATCAGTCGTGTTTAGTTATTGTGCGAAATAGGTTATTGATTAGGGGCTATAACCAAATCGGAGTTTATTAACTTGTCAACCCTTCACTATCGAATACTAACCCGCAACATCTGGTAATAGATGTAGAAGCAATCCCTAAAAATAGCAATACAGTAAGAGACAAAAATGGTAATATTATAAAAATTTTAACAAACATATAATATTAACACAATCGGATAAGAAGCAAAATTAATAATAACGCAACAGAAACCATCCTACAAAAACAAAGATAAATTACCTTTTTGAGGTTACCGATCCCGGTCCTTATAATATGTGTATATTGAATAACAACATAGACTTTAAAATGGCAAATTAAATCCCATTAAAATGGGTGTTACTGCAACAGCTGATACCAAGTCTACTGCTAACTATTCAAGGTCAGGACACAAATGACTCTTCTGCGATGCGCCATTGCATGGCCCACTATAGAAGAACTTTACTGCTCGGAAATCCTTCTGCCCATCCTGTGATAAAAAGGGACACTTTAAAAAGGTTTGCCACTACTAACGCATTTAAAGGCTACAATCACTGCACAGCAGGCATTATTGCTGCTGATCCTGTTTCATTGAAGAAAGGTATAGTACCTGTGTTTATAAAGGTCTTCTTGCTGATGCTATTATAGATACTGGTAGCTCCGTCAGTTTTTTTAATAAATACTTCGCTAACCTCTGCAAACTTCCTTGGTAGCCATGTGCGTACACTGTTTCTATGGCCACGTTATCGCACACCTCTTGAGTCAATGTCAAGTCAGAATATTAAAGTTCGTGATCACTCCTATGACAATACTAACTTACTTATAGTTAAAAATCTCTGCGCTGTTAGGATAATTGATCATGATGTTCTGTCTAAGCATTCAAGTCTAGGGGGATAAAGAAATATTTAAGGTATAATGTAGTTGAAGCCTTAAGTTCCTTTATTTTGTAAACTGACTTTGAACTGTAAACCAATCGCAGTAAAATCACGCAGGCAGAATGCTGAGGATCAGATTATTATTAAAAATGAGGTGAAGAAGTTTTTAAACGGTAACATTGTTGAAGAAAGTCAATATCCTTGGAGAGCGCAATTTCTTGTCACCAAAAACAAAACTGGTGTCCACATAATATATGATATCCACATAATATCAATCGAGAGGAAGGATACTACTTGTCTCCCATCTGGAATCTCAGTCTAGAGCCGCCGTCCGGTCCCGCCACCACGATGCAGCCACATGATTGGCCAGCGCGCGCTTCTTGACGTTCGCGCCATGGAGTGTGCCGATACGTCCCGACACGACAGGTCACCGCGACTATAAATAGAGCGGTAGCGGAGTAATCGTCGGATTCACTCCCCGCCTCTCGACGCGTTAGTGTTCTGAGCTGTTGGACGTGAATCCCTGTCCTGGCATTTGGTTTTCACCTCTGGCTGCGTTGAGTAGTTGAGTTACTGTGACCAAATGCCCATCTTGGTAGTTAGTATTCGCCTCTGGTTGCGTTGAGTAACTGAGTTACCGTTGCTAACTACCCATCTTCCTGTCTTCTTTTTCTTTGTTCTCCTGAAGAAGCTACATACAATTGTAGCGAAACGTCGAGATGAACCCACTTTTGGGTCACTCACAAATGACACGGTCCAAACCCGGAAGACGAATAAACTATAATACTAGCATTTTCGTTCATTTTATAAAACATATTTTTGTAAAACCGAAAAGGCGAAAAGTGAACAGTGAAAATAGGAAGTGTCTGGCAGCATGGACTGAACAATATTGTTTTACACTACCTGATAGACCGCAAGCGGTTCCGGTGTGCCTTAGGGAGAGCGCCCACCAAACTGGCATGGCAAGTGGCAAGTAGCAAGTAGCACGCGTCTAGCATGTTACTTAAAATGTAACCAATGGAAACGAATGATTAGAATGAATGACGTCACTTTCATTTTGGTGTGCGCTGAATCATTCGTTTTCATTGGTTACATTTTAAGTAACATGCTATATAGACGCGCGCTACTTGCTACTTGCCACTTGCCATGCCAGTTTGGTGGGCGCTCTTCATTTTGATTTTGGCGCTCTGAATTTGATTTGAAGCGACACTACGAAACAACTTATCAGAAGTTCCACAAAAACTTTCCTCTTGGCAGTCAGGCGCGTAATGAAAAACTTAGGGTATATCTTAATTCTTAAGAAAAAAGCAGAAAAATCCTAGTTCGCTGTAGGAATATATGCTGGCAGTAGCTAACTCACTTTTTGAACAAAAAAGATGTTGCCTCAGTAATTCAAAACATCTCATTGTCAGCGCAAACTAATATACGAAGAACGGAAATTCTAGCTGCGAATATTAAAAACTCTCTTCTTAATCTTTTGCAAAAGGCACATTGCTACGCCATAGCACTTGACGAATCATGTGGTATTGTTGATTATAAACAAATGTCTGTTTTTGTAAGATTTATTGATATTGAGTGTCAGATTTTTAGGGAAGAGTTGCTAGCATTATTGCCGTTGAAAGGTAACATTCAAGGAAAAGATTTATTCAAGGTTATTGATGAATTAATTTCTAAATCTAACATCAGTTATATTAAAATTATTTTGCATTCTACTGATAAGGCACCAGCAATTATTGGCAGGGAAAAAGGTGTAGTAAAGAGGAACAGGGATAGAAATTTAAATTTAATAACATATCAGTGCAGAATAGTGTCATTGATAGTATGAAGACAGGTCTGAATCTGAACATACAGAAAACCAAAATACTAGTAATAAGTAAACAACAGCATATAAAACCGTCTATATAATATGTAAATAATAATACCAAACTTGAGCAAGTTGATAAAATCGTTTACCTTGGATAGCAATTAAATTGTAACGCAGAAAGTCACGGCAAATTAGATCTAGGAAAGAGCAGGCTAGAGCTACTTTTAGAAGGATGTCCAAGGCGTTATGTAACAGAGACCTAAAATTGGCATTGAGGACCCGCCTACTTCGCTGCTACCTGTTCTCGGTATTACTTTATGGTGTCGAGTCCTGGACTGTGAATAAAATCGACCTAAATCGCCTTGAGGCTTTCGAAATGTGGTGCTATAGAAGAATTTTAAAAGTTTCCTGGATGGAGAAGATTCGAAACTCCACAATACTAGAACGTCTCAGCAAGACTACTGAGATCATAAAAAGCGCATCAAGCAGAGAAAACTGGAGTATTTCTGACATGTAATGAGAGGCCTCAAATATAGGTTGCTACAAAATATCTTGTAAGGAAAAATAGCAGGAAAACGCAGTCTTGGACGAAGGAGAACCTCATGGTTAAAGAACTTGCGAGATTGGTATGCTGTTGATACAAGAATGCTATTTAGGCTGGCAGTGAATAAAATTAAGATAGCTATGATGGTAACCAACGTTCTGAAATGACAAGGTACATGAAGAAGAAGAAGTGTACAATACACCAGGCAGCCCTTTGTGGAAAACTTAGTGCTAGACTTAAAAAAGTCATCGACAGTTTAGTGAAGTTAATTAATTTGATAAGATGCCATTCTGCTCTTCAGCACCGACATTTCAAGGAGTTTCTTTCTGAATGTGATTCAGCATATTCTGACTTACTACAACTCAATAATGCTCGATGGTTAAGTAAAGGTCAAGTTATTGAACGTTTCTGGCTAATAAAAGAACATATGATCTCCTTTTTACAAAATATAGATACGCAGGAACCAGGGCACATTTTGAGTATATAATAAACAGACGCAACATGCTGGTTATGGCTTTTCTAAAAAATATTTAACACAGAGTTATAAGGAAATGGAAAATTAGTATATGATCTGATACAAAGCGTGTCTGCTTTTCATAGTAAGCTGGATATCTTTGAAAAAGATATTACACAACAAGAATTCATTCATTTTCCAACTATTCTTGAATATAATAAAAATAAGGAGTACTCTGAAAGAAGACACTGCAGTATTCGTAAAATTTCTGGGCGATCTTAGAAACTAATTTGCTTTAAGATTTCAAGATTATGCACAGCTAAGCAAACTATCTTCATTTCTAAAATCACCATTTGAAGTTGTTGCTGCGGCAGAATGGACATATATGGCTGTTTAATTTGTCAAAAGCATTACTTCAAATGGAGATTATTGAATGACAAGATCATTTGTCCTTGCACGTTTATTAATCGGTATCCACTGAAGAATTATGGGCCAAACATATGTCAGCAAAATTTGAAAATTGCAGACAACTTGTAATCAATTTAATAAAGATATGATAAGAATGTACCAAATTAATAAACATCTTGTCATTAAATGTTATCATTTGTTTTTTTTCTGGACCTTGTTCACATTTTCTTCTAGCCTAAAATTACTTGCCGACCCCTGCTATAGAGGCTCGCAAAGTGTTTCAAATGTTTAACTGTTTAACTATTATCGCAATGACTGTATCACTAATACGAGTATAGATAACGAAGCATAATTTGTTTTAAGTTAATTTCCGTTCCAATTTGGCTTTCTTACAGAGCTAGAGTTTACCAAATTTGAAAAATTATTTGCCAACGTTTTGATTCATTATAAATTGTTAATTTTAATTTTAAAATTTATACTCCTTGAATACTCATAACAAACTTATCACATCACAGATGTTTATTGAAACTTTTACTCTTAAAATTAAAGAAGAAATCATCCATAAAAATATTTTATTTCTTTTTTACTTTCGAAATACCCTCTATAAATTCCAAAAGCTGTAAAAATTTAGTAAGAAATCTTATTTTATAGTTGGTACCAGTTTAGTTTTACCTGGAAGTTTGGTCCAATCTTGCATTCTCCAAAATAAATCCTGATCTTTGTAATGAATTAAGGGCTAACTCAGATACAGCATTTCTAAGTCCTGGAAGAGTGGGTCCCTCTTCGGGTGACGGTAACTGGCTAATATCTGATGTACTGAAACTTTTTTGAAGACCAACGGCGGATGATAAGGCTGCACAACTACGAATTAATTCAGTCTCTTCCTCAAACCATAAAATTTCAGGTATGTCTGCCGGCCTTAAACAAAAACAAAATTTTATCATTTTAATGCAACACTTCCTTAAAAAATGCTAAAACGTATGCGAACTACATTGACAAAAATAAACATAATTTAAATTTTGTTGCTAATTTAGTTCATTTGAACATGACACAAATTTAAAAGGTCGACACACAAAACTACATAATGACAACGTTATGAGTAAGTAGACGCTCCTACGCGGATAATGAAATTTTTGTGGGGTTTATGGACTATGAATGGTACGAAGTTTGTGTTATTTCTTGTTATATATAAATATAATGTACAGAATGTAGCAGTGCATCAAATACGATAGATGTAATAGATATAAAAAAGATATTTAGAAAAATTATAGGTAACTTTATATTTCATATTAGTAAATTAAATTTTTACATCATTCAAACCATCTGCAGAGTGTTGTTTATGAAATGTGGTGGCTACTTCTTTGATATTATATGTCGCTTATGTTTCTTAGCCAGGAATGTTGTTTTCTTTTTAGGTTCGGCGCAACTGTACCTTTCCTTACAAACCTAGTTTTGGACAAGGTAGGAAATTTTTCTTTCCTTAACGATGTTGGGTAGTTCTGGCACAGTATATTGCCTAAAAAGAATTCTTTTTAAGCAATATACTGTGGTTCTGGTAAGAGTTCGGCTCTTACCAGAACTTTGGTAAATATAAGTAAAGATATGGGACAAGATAATGATGGTGTTACGTTAGTCCACTCAAAGAAGAAATGATAAAACTACCGACTTAGGAGTTCCAAGAAAGGCTTGGCTTTACCTTTCTAGAGTTAATTGAAGTGTCACAACAGAAACTATCTTCGATTATCTAAAAGAATATGGTCTCATCAGAAAAAAATAATGTTTTGTACCAAGAGATGGTCCGGTGGCAGTTATCCATCATTGCTTCGCAAAATTGCATTCTTCTATCGGGATCCTCTTTGTTTAATTCCTGCACAAGTTTGATTTTATAAGGATGCCATTTTTCAAGCTTTAATAGTTTGCGTACCATTGTTTTGCTAACACTGATATCGCGACTAACTTTACGCACAGAAGTGTGCGCATCTTCTTCAGAACTAAGTAAAACATCTAATGCTGTATCAGCATTTGCAGAGGGACGATCTGATTTCCGTGCATTTTCAACCGTACCAATTTTTCGAAATTTCTTTTCAATCTTACTGACTGTTGAACGCGTTATAAGAAAAAATTTCTTTCATATTCTGTCAGACAATAAATATTTTTGATACTGTTAATTTAACTAACGCGTTACTTCATGAGCACACACAAAAGTATTGTATTTTTGTCCACCCTGTACCAATTTGAATCAACATGTGATTCAAACATTTTTGGAATCAGCTCATCTAGAGAAATCCGAAAATTTAGACAAAATGGGGGTGTTCCATTAAAAAAATGACGTTGACGTCATTACTTGAAAGTAATTCACCCTGTATATTAGAATATTATTTTAAAATACGGTAAATTAAAATCAAAAATCGATGTGTTTCAGGATTATTTCTTAAAATGCTCTTATCTAAAAAAGAATTTGTTCCATACTTTACGGACACAGTGTATATTGTACTCTTTTGTACTAAATTCTTGACTAGTCCGGTAAGATTTATACATTTTTTTTTGTAAGAATTGTGCGAACTTTGTGGATGTATAAATTCTATCTATCTATTCACCCTTGCTTTATTCTTGTTTTTATTACACTTTTTACTGCATTCTTCATTTTATTCACTGTTTTATTTTAATCATGTGTACTTTTACTATATATTGTACTCTTTTGTACTAAAATCTTGACTAGTCCGATAAGATTTATACATTTTTTTTTGTAAGAAACTAAGGGAGCAAAGAAGTGTGGTGATTTCAGACTTATTAGTTTAATGTCGCATATGTTAAAGTTATTCTTGAAAGTTATTCACCAACGCATTTATAAGAAATGTGAACAGGATATCAGTGATGAACAATTTGGCTTCCGAAATGGATTTGGGACACGGGAAGCATTAACCAGTTTTATTATACTGCTGCAACAATGTCGAGACCAAAAAAAGGATCTCTTTTTATGTTTTATTGACTATCAAAAGGCCTTCGACAAAGTAAAACATGATAAACTGATGGATTGCCTTCACAAAAAGAGACTAGACCAGAACGATTTTAAAATTATCCAAACGCTGTATTTTAACCAAACTGCAGCAGTTAGAACAGAAGCCGGTGACACAGAAATATTCAATATCAAGCGAGGTGTACGACAGGGGTGTGTATTGTCACCACTACTTTTCAATATATATTCGGAAGAAATCTTTGCACGAGCACTAGAGCAATCAAGAGAAGGTGTTAAAATTAACGGCAGAGTTCTAAATAATGTACGATACGCCGACGACACGGTCCTAATTGCAGAGAGCGCACAGGATCTCCAGACACTCTTAGATCGCGTCAGATCGATCGGAGAACAATACGGCCTCAGGATTAACGTCAAGAAAACAAAAACAATGATTGTCTCCAAAACATCCATCCATCCACCTATGGCTTTAAACGTGAATGGTAACATTATCGAAAATGTCGAGAAATTTCGATATTTAGGGTGCTGGATAACGAAAGATATAGATCCAGACATAGAAATAAAATCGCGAATTGAACAAGCAAGAAATGTCTTTTTAAAAATGAAACAAATGTTTACGTCCCAAACACTAAATCTCAAAATCCGATACCGAATGCTGAAATGTTACGTTTACAGCACCTTACTATATAGAATGGAGGCCTGGACCTTCAAAATCAACTCACTCAGGCGTTTGGAAAGTTTTGAAATGTGGTTATTTCGAAGGATGCTGAAAGTCTCCTGGACAGCGCATATGAGCAACGAGCATATCCTACACAAGATGGGTACCGACAGAGAACTCTTAAAAATAATGAAAACACGGAAAACCTCATATTTGGGACACATATACAGAAATGAGAAATACCAGCTACTGCAGCTTCTTATAGAGGGGAAAGTAGAAGGAAAACGTGGTCCTGGTAGACGGCAGGCGTCCTGGTTGAAGAACATTCGTGAGTGGACTGGTTTGGATTCTCAATCTTTAATAAGAAAAGCCAGGGACAGAAATGATTTTGCTGAGGTTATCGCCAACCTTCATTGAAGACGGCACCCAAAGAAGAAGAACTGTGTGAACTTTGTGGATGAATAAATTCTATCTATCTATCCACCCTTGTTTTATTCTTGTTTTTACTACACTTTCAATTTTGTTTCTTGAACGGTCTTTAATATATCTTTAGTTGTCATCCAGTTTTTTCAGCACTTTCCTCTTTGCCTGATGTCAACACTATTTTTTGTTCTAATACACTAGTTATTACTTGTTTTACGGTATTATTTGACATCTTTTCTCTATCAATAGTAACAGGTTGCTTATTAGTCCTTCTCTTATTTTTCTACTAAAATATTGTGATCTGTTGATACATCTGCACTTAAATATGTTTTGACTGCTAATATTGAACTTCTGTATATTTTATTTATACATATCAAGTATATTTAACGACGCTGTGGAAGTTTAAAAATAATAGATTAAGTTACATAATATAATAAAGCGTTTTCCGACTGTTATAATTTACTATTTACCATATTTTTGAATATTTTCTACATTAAGGTCATTCTGAACTCTTGCGTGTGTCGATTGAATAAAATTTGACGTGTGCCCTACCTGATTAATTACGCATTAATACACGTAAGTTTTTCCAATAATAAATTCCGAATTGACCAATATATGTACGAGTATACGAATGGTATAAGAATGTTTGTTATTTCAAGCACAAACTCTTTGCGTAAATATTCATGGTAACAACCTCTAACTGGTTAAGTGATTGTAAAAAATGTTAAGGATGCTATTATATAAAAATTTGCATTCATTGCCAATTTGCAATCAATTATTGATCTGAATTAACAATAGGCTTGAATTACGATGCTAAACCTCTATAATCTACAATTACTAGTTGTATATTATAAAAATACATTTACAATGCCAGAATACTTAATTGATAAGTAGAAGAATAATTGAGATCTGGTTCTAAAAACCGAACATCAACGCTTTATTTTAGTAAAGACTACATTATCTTGAGCAATAAGTACTGCAAAAATAATTTAAGTTCATATTTAAATAGTATTTTTTTTATATATTTTTTTTAAATTCTATTGTACATTATTGTAGAATATTTAATAACAAATATATTCTTCTTAGTTGTTAACCTATTAAAGGCATCGTGATATCCTCATTTCATAAATTGGTCCTCTTGGTTCCGATATTCCTCCATTTCTCGCTATCTCCTGTCATTCTAATAATTTCTGACACTTGGGACAACATAGGTACGATCTGTGTATCTTGTGAATCTCTACCATATTTTGCCTTTGATCTTCTTTTCTATTTTGCCAGTCAGCTCTATCCATTGATAAAAAAAATGGCGCCTGGTAAAGACGATTGCGATAGCAAGAACGAAAAAACCAAGTTTATTTGTTGCAGAAATAAGAAAATAAGTACAATATGTATAAAGTGTGAAAAAGCGTTTCATATATTATGCACGGTACAGGATTGGTCCGGAAAACTTTAAATTTTAAATGAAACGCGTGTGATTTGTGTTGATTCTAAGATAACCTTAAATAGTGGGAATGGCATGGGAAATACGATCATTCATCTAAGAGGTGGAGGCCATAAAAACGAAAGAAGAAGAAGAAGAAGAAGAATCATTCATCTGCTAAATGAACTAATTAGTGAGTTGAGAAGCAAAAATCAAATCCTAGATAAAATAATAAGCTGCTATGGGAAAAAGTAGAAAGCCTAGAGAAAAAATTACCAACAAATTCCATGGGGGTAAAAAATGCCACTAAAACCACACAATAATAAACAATCAGAATGCCCACTCTGCTTGAAAAATAAGTACGCGCATCTCGTTCGCGCAGACGGAATCAGCCATGTTTTAAACGGAGCCAGTGCTGTTCAGTGACATTTTATCTGGTGTGC